CTACCCCCCCCCCCCTCCCAAAAAAAAAAAAAACATCAAACTCTGGCTACGTGCCTGCATATGGGAGAGTCTCCCAACTTCTGTTAAATAATGTACTACGTTATATTCTTTCAATATATGCCATGCCAAGTTATAACCTAGGTTCCAGTACATCCCTGGACATCCACCCCCCCCCCCCCCCCCGGATAACCACCCCAGTCAACTACTCCCTAGGACAACTACCCCCTAGGGCAACCACCATTTAGGACGACTACCCCCCCCCCCCCCTTAGGAAAACTACCCCCGGACAACTACCCTTGGACAACTACCCCCTTGGACAACTACCCCCGGGCAACTACCCCAGACAACTTTTTATTTTTGCTTACTCAAGATTGAAAGATGGACTGGTTGAATGAAGGCCTTTGTTGAATACTTTTAGATACAAGCTTTAGTATGTCACATTCTCAAGAAACATATATCGAGGAAAAAACAATCTTTCACATATTTGAATAAAATTGGTATAGGTAACTTTGTTAAGAGTATGAATAATTTCGAATACCGTATACTCTGTCATATACCTCCAATACCCCAATACCCCCCCCCCCCCCAAGATGTTTGGTCGTTTATGGTCATCATTATATACACCCCCCCCCCCCCCCTCCCTCCAAAAAAAAGGGGCCCGGTGAGGCTCTTTGACAAAACCCGTATGTAATAAATATCGTGTTCCTCATTTCGTCTCCTTATGATTTTCAAACAGAGTATAGAGGTTTCTAGGTCTGAATTAAGTAAAATGATGTGGAAATAAATTATAAATATCAAAGTATTATTTCTCGAAAATGTCTTGCAATTGTCCAAGGTAATACAACACTGGTCTGCTATTCCATGTGGTTTACATTGCTTCGAGGAAGACAATTGAGGAAGTTTACTGACGGTGGTTTTAGCAAACGAGTTCAAAGCACTTTCTTGTAAAGATCAGTGAACTTATATAGCTGATATTCTTTATATTCACAGCTTATTTTCAATTAGATGATAACGGAAAATAAAATTGACATTAAACTTGTTAATCAATAAGGGCTTTTTAGCTTGCCTAATCGGTCTACAATAACGCGAATTCAGTCTACGTCGAAAATATATGGTGCGTACGAATTTATGTTAATGAGCATTCGACACCAGTTTTCTACCATCCATTTTCTACATAGAATGAGCTTACAGAAATTAGTTGCAGTTCCACTGTGTTTGGAGCCTGAAGAGCGTTAATTTATATATTTAACACAGAGTGAACGCCTTTCCGGCTCTGAACAGGCGTTTTATAAAATGTTCAAAAGAAGAGACTGTGTCAGATTATGATGGTATTCAGACACGATTTCCAATCAATCTGCACGTTAACATGGGTTGGTATCACTCTCTCCTGCCTGCACTCTCTCCATCAATCTATTATTATAATAATTATAATAATTCATATCAAAAGTTCTACTTATTCTAAACATTCGTTTTTGACAATAGAAAAGAGAAGCGCTTTTAAGAATATAGTATTTTCTGCGACTTTTGACTTCTCATGCATTTTTTAAATAATATTCTTGTTTTTCATATCTAAATAACTTTTGTTGATTCACTTTCTGATTTCTAAATGACAAAGAAAAAAATCAATGCAAAATATTACCAATATGTAAGTTTTTTCTTTCTTCTTCTTCTTCTTCTTCTTCTTCTTCTTCTTGTTATTATGTTGGTTACTACATAATAGCCGGAAAAATATTGTACATGTAATTGTCCTGGTATCCTATTATATTAGTGCTGGGAAACATAACGTACTACTTGATTTTTACAATAACCAACAGTGCTCTACCGCCATCTACGTTAAAATGTAAATACAAACACAAGCTGTTCCTTGCTCAGTACTGATTGAACCATGGATCTACTATAAGAATTAGTAGGTCCATGGTCGGAGAGATGGCGTCAGACGCGTACACAGGGGGGGGGGGGGTGATTTGGGGGCTAAACCCCCCCTTTGGTATTTTTTTTTATGTGTAACCCCCCCCCCCCCTTAACCCCCTAACCCCCCCCCCCCCCCTTTGGATTTTTTTTTTATTAAAAAAAAAAATATATATATATATATATATATTCACATGGCTGACCTAAAAAAGCTGACCTTCCCCCCCCCCCCCCCCAACGGAGCAAAATGTCAAATTTTCAAATTTCGAGACAAAAAAAAAAAAAAAAAAGTGTCCTTTACCCCCCCCCCCCCCCCCCCCCCCCCCCCCCCCCCTTTATGTAATAAATATCATGTTCCTAATTTCGTCTTCTTATGATTTGCAAACAGAGTATAGAGGTTTCTAGGTCTGAATAAAGTAAAATGATGTGGAAAGTTGGAAACAAATTATAAATATCAAAATATTTTTTCTCGAAAATGTCTTTCAAATTATTGTCCAAGGTAATACAACACTGGTCTGCTACTCCATGTGGTTTACATTGCTTCGAGGAAGACAATTGAGGAAGTTTACTGACGGTGGTTTTAGCAAACGAGGTCAAAGCACTTTCTTGTAAAGATCAGTGAACCTATATAGCTGATATTCTTTATATTCACAGCTTATTTTCAATAAGATGATAGCGAGGAAAAAATTGACACGAAACTTGTTTAATAAAGGCTTTCTAGCTTGTCTGATAATGATAAAGATCGGTCTCCGATAACGACAAATTCAGTCTACGTCTAAAATGGCGCATACGCATTTATGTTATTATGAGCATTCAACACCAGTTTCCTAACATCCATTTTCAATGCATAGAATGATTTTATAGATGTTAGTTATAGTTCCATTATGGTTGGAGTCATAAGGGCATTACCTCAAATAGAGAGTGAACGCCCTGTCGGCTCTGAACAGGCGTTTTAACAGATTATGATGGTATTCAGACACGATTTCCAATCAATCTACACGTTAACATGGGTTGGTATCACTCTCTCCTGCACTCACTCCATCAATCCATTATAATTCATATCAAACTTTCTGCTTGTTCTACACATTTCGTTTTGACTATAGACAAAGGAAGCGCTTTTAAGAACACATTTTTTTTCATGCGATTTTTGATTTCTCATGCTTATTTTTATCTAATTTTCTTGTTTTTCATCAATTATCTAAATAACATTAGTTGATTCACTTTCTGATTTCTCCAATTTTAGTGACAAAGAAAAAAACGATGCAAAATATTACTAATATGAAAGTTTTTTTTTTCTTTTCTTCTTCTTCATGTTATTATGTTGGTTGCTTCATATTACCCGGATAAATTGTACATTGTACAAGTTTTATGGTAGCCTATTATTAGTACTGGGAAATATATCTTGCTACTTGATTTTTACAATAACCAATAGTGCTTTACCGCCATCTACGTTACAATATAAATACAAACAGTGACTGTTTTCACAAGCTCAGTTGAACCATGGACAGGTTCAACTGGGGAGGTGGCGCCTGGTGGCGCAATGAGCAAAACTTGTTTTGGGGATGCGAATATTGACGATAAAGGTCAAGATGTTGGCCTACAAACTACGTTTTAGCTAAGGCGTACTGTTTTTTGTTATGTTGATTATTCATGAGGCTAGCTAGAGTCATTTTGCATTGGCCTATATCCACTATAAAACTTTACTTGGTTGCTCACATGAATGTTTGACACTTTGAACAATGAGATGGTAAGTTGATATCCCACCCGTTGGCTCATTGATCGAAGTGTAAAAAACATAAGAAAACAAGCAAACCATTCCATCTGATCTCGACGTAATTCGGTCAACTCAAAGTCTGCCGAATAACCCCAATGAGCCGACCGATATCAGTCACAGAATGTGTTATGTGCAAGAGATGATGTTTATAATATCAATATAACTGTCCATGAATCAGGGGCGGCGCAGAGCGTCTTTCAAAGTGAGGAGGGGCACCAACATAAAGGGCACTTTCTAGGAGAAGAAAAAAGGGGCACATACAAAGGAAAAACCTCAAAGCGAGAATATACAATGTATATACATTAGTAGGCCCTTATACCTATACACTCTGATTACATTACAAGGGATGCTTGCATTGTTTGTTTCTTTACATGGTCCAAGATACTACTTTAGAATCATACTTTGCAGTTGGGTGTGATAGTTTGAATATTTATTTGCAAGCGGGCGAAGTGAGAAATCCAAAATTTTAAGATTTGTGAAGTCACAGTGCGAAATATTACATCCTAAAAACAATCTTAATTATGAGAGTCTGAAAAGATCTTTAATAAGAAACACAATTATAATAACATAAAACGCGAGCGAGATTTGCGAGCTAGCTTTTTGTGAAATTGAAGAAAAAGTTGTTCTTAGTCGCTTTGAATTAAGAGCACATTTTATGATAAAATAAAAAGGCGGCACACCAAAGTTAAAAGGACGCTTATTAGAAAAGAAAAGGAGCATGACTGTGTTAAAGTAAATATCAGAATGATCACAGGTGAAAGTGGGGCATTACTCTCACCTGATAAGGGCACTCACCAGAGAAGTAAAAAGGCTCTCGTGATAACGGAAAAGGGGCAATTATCAGAACGAAAATGGTACTAATTAGAAAGGATATATGGACGCGTGTCAAAATAAAAGAGGCACTTATAAGGAATGAAAAGAGGAACTTAAATAAGGGCACTCACCGGAGATGTTAAGAGGCACTTAAAACTGTCAAAATAAAAGGAACACCCAGATTTGAAATTATAAGAGGTGAATGGGCACTTTTCAGAGGTGGTAATTAAGGGGCATTTTTTTTACCTGAAAAGGGGCACTTGTGAAAATGATAAGGGGCAGATTTTAATAGAGGCATTTATCAAACGTGTAAGAATAGGGGCGTTTATGAAATAGGGAAAATGGCTCTTATTTAAAAAGAAAAGGGGCCCTCATCAAAGATGAAAAGGGCCACTTATCAGAAGGGGAAGGGGTACTTAATTACTCAAGAAATTAAAGGGCACTTGTTAAAGTAAAAACCACGTTTGAATAACATTCGCCAGTGGTAGGAACACATGTAAGGATATAAGACGGTGACTATATATTCACATATACTGCCCTTACAAGAAGGAGCAGACGACACAAAGCACGGCCACTGATTGAACCCAGTTCAAAGGTAAGGTTTGCTCTTGTCTACCGAGTTAATATTTAACCAATGCATCGGTACACATGCCGTCCCCCTGCAATTGCAATTGCATTGAGACTATACAGGGAACTGTTACAGATACATGTACATGTATGTTGAATTCATGAAGCCTGCAATGTTAGCTCTTTTACAGACAATCACAGGTCGTAACGCTTTGATTCTTTCGTCCGTATGCTAATTATCTTGAAAAGAGGCAGTGATTTCTTGGGATCTGCACCTTCGCCGACTGTTGCTGTTCAACGAATGCTGATCAACACCATAATCATCTGATATCAAACAAGGTTCGAATATAACAATGCATGACTTGGTAGATTGTGAATTGGTAGATTGATGTTGTATGCTAGTGGTTGGTACATAATGTTATTTTAATCGAGGAGAGGGCTCGAGAGTACACCTATGTGTTCGGGAGGAATTGAGATTCAGACATTTTGAGTTTTTTTATGGAACTAGTTTGTCTAATATCGGATCGCCAGCCCACTGAGAAACCTAGTTAGGGTTGCGAAGTATATGGATGTGTCTCTTAGAAACCCTCAGGAGCTGTCTAAATTCATCTATTATGCATGATACTATGTATGTTTAATATAATTCATTTCGCATACTTGAATATCATTGAGGTGGGACTGTTAATATGTTGCTCTGATGTTTCCTTATACTCACCACCTCCTAGTAACGACTAATCTCTCACTAACTTCTCCCTAATTCCATTTCGACCCTCCATAATACCAACCCTTAATATACCTCCGCTTTATATCACTGTTCCTTGGTAACCCTCCTATCCACTATATACCCTATTCCTTATTACCCCCTACCCTTCTCCTACCCCTCTTCCATTTTACTTCTGCTCTTTAATAATCTCTCCCATCACTTTCTACCCTATCCATCCCTTATTGCCGCTCCTTATTACATCAAATCTTCGTTACTACCTTTCTAATCATTACTCCTCGTCATTTCATGTGAGTTGGTCTTATACGTTCACTTCAGTGGTCAGCTTTCTGTCTTCGCCTACAAACTCATGCGGACCTCGGTTCGAAACCGAGTCATGCCTTTTGGCCCCAGAGGTAAATACTCATATCTGATTGACAATGGCGGATCCAGGGGTGGGCCGAAACGGCCGCGGCCCCCCCCCCCCCCTATTGGCGGCGCAAAAAAATTGAGAAGGAAAAAAGAGGAAGAAAAAAAAGGGGGGAGGAGAAGATAAAAGAAAAGAGAACAAAAAAGTAAAGAAAAGAGAGAGAGTTCAAAAAAGAGGAAAGAAAAAGAAGAGAGGAGCCGGGGAGAAAGAAAGACAACGAAATGACACTAAAAATTAGTGACAGTAACGACGAATAAGGGAAAGACAAGGGGAAGGGGGGTGCGTGAAGGCGGATGCATTGAGGGGGGGGGGGGGGGGGGGTGACTGGCCGTATTCCCTTTTTTAGGTTATGCGAAACTGAGTCGAAATTATGCTTCTTTTCAAAAAAATCTTAGCATGCTTGTTTATGTTAAGCCGTAGTGCATGAAAAGGTTAGTGTAGAAACACTTCTGAAAAGGCCGCGCCCGGCCCCTCCAAAGAACGGCAGAATGGTAATCTATAAATTATGAGGTCATTCTTGACGGCCCTACTCAAATGGTAGTGACGATAACGATGGATAAGGGAATAAGGAGGAAGGGATGCACATGCAGGCGCGTACACAGGTGGGGGGGGGTCGAACTCTCCTCAAATTTTTGTCAAGTTGTCAAGTTGGTCCTGATGTGTATAATGCGTAGACCAGGGGTTCTCAAACTTTTCTTTGACGGTCCAGAAGCGATTTCTATGAAAGCTGTAAGGTCCGAAATGACACTTGTATACTGAAGATAATAAGGCTTGTTTTTGGTCTATATCTGATCCAAGGAGCATTGTTACAGTTTTAAAAAAAACAGAACCGCCAGTGCTTCCACTCGTTTAAATAGAGTTTCCTGAAAAATAACACCCAATATCCTGGAATTTGAAGGAATTTTCTTAAAACTTTCAAAATGCCTCTTACGTGGATTTCTTATTTGGATGAATCGCTATGACGTTTTAATATATATTAATTATTGAGTGGGCTTATTTTGCTTTCTAATGGATCCATACAACATTGCAGAGCTTGAGGGGCCTGGCAGAGCCTTTTCAAGAGAGAAATTGTCTTTAGGAGAAAAAAGAGGTTATTTCTAGAATGAAATGAAAGGGTTATTGACTTTCAAGAGAGAAAATTGTCTATAAGAGAGGAAGAGAAGTTATTTCTAAAATGAAATTAAAGGGCTCTTGTCAAATAGCCCTTTCATTTCATTTTTTCTCTCGAAATAAACTCTCTTTCTCTCTTATAGACAATTTTATGAGATGGAATCTTCAATCTGAAGCCTTTTTGTGCTCTTTGAAAATGGCACATTGAATGGGGCAGTGCAATTTAAATTCCAAGGGATGGATTAGAGTTTTTATCGCTCTTGAAAGTCAAATAGCCCTTTCATTTCAGAAATAAGGCTCTCTTTCTCTCTTATAGACAATTTTATGAGATGGAATCTTCAATCTGAAGCCTTTTTGTGCTCTTTGAAAATAGGACACTGAATGGGGGCAGTGCAATTTAAATTTCAAGGGATGGATTAGAGTTTTTGTCGCTCTTGAAAGTCAAATATCCCTTTCATTTCATTTTAGAAATAAACTCTAATACATTCATTGATATTTAAATTGTGCTGCCCCTATTGTGTCCTCTTTTTAAAGAGCACAACAGAGCCCTCAGATTAGGCAGCAAGTAACAAAACAAACCCGTAACACTGGACACAACATTCAATGGGATGATGCCCATATCATTGAGTTTGAAACACTTCTGGTCAAGAATGGTAGAAGAAGCATCTGCATAAAAAGGATGAATCCTTCACTGAATAGGGATTCTTGCTATACACTTTTACCTTTCTTCGCTCCAGTGATCTCGAGGCAGCAGACAGCAAGAAATTGTGTAAATAATTTGCTGTTGCCGGGAGTCTTGCCTGGGGCGGAGCCCCAGGAAGTTCTTGAACTTTATTTTTTTTAAGGAAATTCCCAATAGTCGTCATGAGCGATAGAAATTGTAATTTCCTCCTTGAGAGTCACATAACCCCTTTCATTTCATTTTAGAATTTAACCTCTCTTTCCCTCTTAAAGACATTTCATATAACTTCTGTTTTCATATTGTTGTACTTTCGTCCGCAGACTACTAAAGCACATGTCGAGCCAACTCAGTCGGAAATGTAATATGTCTATCTTCTTTTTTTTTTTTAATTATTCTTTCTTTTCTTCTCATTTTTCTGTGTGTGACATGCGTTACGCGTACGTCTATCAATGTCTTAATATGGTAGATTTACATTTTGATGTTTCCCTTTGTAGGTGCACCTTATATTCCAGAAAGTGCCCTATTTTGATGGTGCCCCCCCCCCCTCCATGTATTGATCTTGAAAAATAACTTTCTCATTAATTCTATTTAAAGCGACTAAGAGTAATTTCCCCTAAAGCTCGCTCGCTCGCTCGCATTTATAGATGATACAATTATATGTCACTTTAAAACAAATGTTTTTTCAGTCTTCCGTGATGCTTATAACCCCATCATGATTTGTTTTTTTCCTCTTTGTAAGATGTAATTGTCACTCTGCGACCTCACAGATCTTACATTTTTCTCGCTCTCTTTGCTCGCTCGCAAATGAATATTCAGACAATCACACCCAGCCGAAAGTGTGATGCTTAAGCAATATCTTGTATGATATATAAAGAAAAACAAATATTGAAATCGTCCCTGATAATGGAATCACAATGAAAGGGTATATATCAATGTCTAAAAAAATGTATATTTTCGCTTTGAGATTTCGCTTTGTAGGTGCCCTTTTTTGTTGGTGCTTTCCACTTTGGAAATAGCTCCGCCGCCCCTGCTTACGCATTACCGCCACCGTTAATTTCACGCTTGCGCGCACAGGGTGTGTGTGTGTGTGTGGGGGGGGGGGTTCCTCTCTAGCTCTGAAGCTGATTTTTTTTTTTTACCTGGATTCGTGCGATTCGGTTAATACTTTTAGAGGGAGTCTGAGGGGTGATGTGTCCCCCTCTGAAGCTGACATTTTTTGGATTTTTGAAACTGGATTCGTGCGTTTTGGTTAATACTTTTTTGGGGAGTCTGATTTGATTTCAAAACACCTGCAGTTAATGCGGGATGGGGTTGCAACCTCTCTTTCCCCGAAAATTTAAAAATTACCAATATGCATTTGTTATATCTTATCTCGTATATTTTGGTGACAATTAACACTTTTCACAACATACATAAGCTCAAATTTCCGCTCACTCGCCAAATTATTAAACCAGGAAATAGATATTGGGACAAGAGGCTTCAGCCCCCACTGATGGAAATGTCAAAAAAAAATTCGCGCGAGCATAACTTGAAAACGGGGAATGTTGATATCGGACAAGAGATGTGACGTGAGCATGTCCCCTTTCCAAAATAATTGTGCCCGCTTGTAGGTACCAGTACACTATTAAAGTACAGTGCTTCTAATATGACCTTGTCAGTATTGGTAAGTTTAAATAACGGTCTGCGCGAATTTCGAATTTCCGCCCCCCCCCCCCCCCCACCCTTCCCTCCCCCCCCCCCCCCCCCCCCCCCCCCCCCCCCCCCCCCCCCCCCCCTATTGGAAAATCCTGGATCCGCGCCTGATTGATACACGTCTGTAAAAACCAATTCACACATACACCTACTCTTTCACTAGAATGTTTCTTTGTTTAATACGTCTTTTCTCGTTTCAGTCTTATCTTTAGGGTTATAGGTTTCACCTCTGACCAATCCTGAGAGTTGTCACAGTGGTACCATCTTCAAGGATCCTCCTACCAGCATCATGGAACTCAAATGGGATATGATTGTGTTGACGTTAGCTGGGTTGTTTGTCCTCTGGATCGTAAGCATGTTCATGGAGAGTCTAGTTCGTTCTGTATTGCTACCAAAAGTCATTGACAAGTAAGATATCACGAAACGACACCTGCTCCGACCCCCCCCCCCGACCCCCCCCCCAGTCAATCTCATACTCTTACCAAACTTCCAAATTCAACCCCATACCAAACAAACAAAACAACGATAGGCATACCTAGATTAGTAGATCTAGCTCCAACTTTAATCTAACCTGAAAATCCAATTGCAACCATCAATAAAATCGGGGTTATACATGACTTGTGCTTTGATTGCAGGGCCCTCTGTGAGAACAGTATTAATACGGATGAGACTACCCTGCATGAACAAGACATTAGTATTATTATTGTTGTTATTATGACCATAACTCTACATTTTTGACGAAATCTGCCTATACATTGCCGGAGCATTTTCATGTAACCTAAGTGAGTTATGATTGATATGTGGAGCTCTAATGTTATGTTGATACCGACGTCATAGTCACCAAACAGTTAGCGGTGCCAGTAATTTCCTCGTGACCATTAAGTGCCCCTATTTCCTTTGATTTTTCGATATGGTAGTCTTCATCTGAGTCGATCCGGTGCCTGAAAGAATTTAGTGCTAGCCTTTGTCAAATTTAATGTTGTATATGGTATTAGGAGTTTTCTCCCATTTCTCATTTTTTTCGTAGCGAAAAAACCTATCATATCATATCATATCATATATTTCATATCATTGTTCATGTTTTTGTCACCATCTTCATCTCGGTTCCCCTCTTCACAGATTTCATATTTTCGGAGGGATTATTATATTTTTGTTTTAGCAGATTCTACTGCATTTATTGATAAATCAAATATAAAACATTCAAATAACAATACATGTAATACTAAATAATACAACTGATTTACATAAAGAGTGACAACACACATATAAAAATGCATATAAATATAATTGAAAACTTGGAAGTATGGAGGTAAGAAAAATAATCAAGATAAATGCAGAGGCCAACTACCTAAGCATATAGGGAGAATGATGGTATTAGAACGAGAGGGATGATGATGGTCTACATACAGTAAGGAGAAGATGAGAAGAGGGTGAAAAAAGGATAATCGTGCCGATTTCAGCAGCGTTCATTACTTGTCTTAAAAGTATAATTTTACCGAGAAGTTTTAAAGAGCGTTTATTTTTTTTCTTCTAAAACGATCATAAACCGTGTCTAGTTCGTTCTATATTGCTACCAAAAGTCATTGACAAGTAAGATATCAGGAAACGACACCTGCTCCGATCCCCCACCCCCCCCCCCCCAGTCAATCTCATACTCTAACCAAACTTCCAACTTCAATCCCAGACCAAAAAGTGATCGGCATACCTAGATCTAGCTCCAACTCTAATCTGACCTGAAAACCCAATTGCAACCATCAATAAATTGAGCTGGGGTAATATATGTGATATAGGTCTTCAGGAAAACAGTACTGGTGAGACTACCCTGGGTAAAAAAGACATATTATTATTTTTTTTTTTTTATTATGACCACAACTCTAAATTGTTGACAAAATCTCCCTATATATTGATTATTATTACCCAAGTGAGTAATAATTGATGTGTGAAGCTCTAATGTTATGATGTTGATACTTCATAACAGTTGGCGGTGCCAGCAATTTCCTCGTGACTATTTATATTTGCTGTTTCTTTATTTCATTTCCTTTGATTTTTCGATATGGCAACCTTGCCCGTAAGAATGAAAGTGCTAGCCTTTGTCAAACTTAATGTTGTATATGGTGTTAGGAGTTTTGTCCCAAATCTTTCTCTTTTTTTGTAGCGAAAAAGCAATTAATTCATTTATTTCATATCGTCGTTTAATGTTCTTGTCACCATTTTCATCTCGTTTCCCTTCTTCCGATTTCTTCGCAGATTTCATGGTATTAGGACGAGAGGGATGAAACGGTCTCGATAAAGTTAGGAGAGTTTGGGAAAAGGGTGCATGATACGAATGATAATCGTACCGAATTTTAGCAGCATTCATTACTTGTTTAAAAAATATAATTTTACCTACAAGTTTTAAAGAGCGTTTATAACATTTTTGCTAAAACGATAGTAAATTGAACATTGTTCACAAAAACCATATGTTTCGTTTTAGATACGTGTTAATAACTGGCTGTGATACTGGTTTTGGAAGCATTGTGATTCGTCAGTTAGACAGACGAGGTGTTCACGTGTTCGCCGCGTGCTTGACTGCTAAAGGTCAGAAAGAGGTCGAATCAAAGACATCAGACAGGGTCATTACACTTCGATTGGACGTCACCGACCACGAGAGTGTCGTAGCCGCATTCGAGTTCATCAAGAAGAAACTGCCGAAAGATACAGGTAAACATAATAATCAAATTCCAAAATGTGTGAGGGTTAAAATTCTTATCTCGATCAAAAATCTATACCTCATGATTTTTCAGCTCTTGAGCAACAGCTGCGGCCGTTATTGACCATTATGTGAGAAGATTCAGGTCGGGTCACATCGCTGGCAAAGGCTGAAACTAAGCAACTGAACATTTCTGAGGCAAACATTGTGTGTATTTAGAAAACTTAAAAACATTTGTATCACCGATTCAGATGAACTTTTATGATAATGAAGTTCCTTTTGTTTCTATAGCGCATAATGTACCCACTGCACACGAGGCGTTATTTGCCTGACGGAGGACTACGACTGCGCGGTCCTTAACGCACCATGCGAAAGAGATATCGAGACTGAAAGATGGGCTCGCTCACTAAAATGATAGTGTTTTCTTGTATAGCGCTCATGTCTGTCAGACTTAACTCTCCTGGCGCTCCACAATTATTTCCACCGGCTTTATTATGGCTGCCAATCATGGCGCTCTAGCATTTCAAGGTACGAATTCCTGCCACGTACCAATTTACATCACCTGGGTCGAGTGTGGCGAATAAGGATTAATGGCTGGCCAAAGGACATCAATGCCGCAGAGGGACTCGACCGGCGACGTGTGTGACGTTGCAACTATACCACGACATTGATTACCTCTTATTGTTTTATTGCTTTATTGTTTTAGTAGCGTGAAAAGTACATGAAAATGACGCCCATCGGGCAACGGTCATATGACGGTCTTTATGAGCTTCCGGAGTGCTTTGTTTGTTACACCGTGATTATCTCCAGCAATCGTTACTAGCGCACAGTGCATTTAAAGGGGAAAAAACTTAAAAGGTAACTTCTTACTAAACCTGTGTCTGGAGGGACAGCTACAGTTGAATGTTGTGTCACATGATATTAGCACCGTGCCGGGCCTCGAACCCGAGAGGTTAGCAATTCCTATCACGTGCTTAAGCCGTTCGCCCACGACACCTCAGTGCGCATTTTACTTTGGTCAAGATTGTTTCGTTAGGAGTAACTTAAAGAGGCATCTCTAGACCAGTCGCCATTTTGAATGGTATTGAAGACGTTAGGATGGGATGTCATCAAGTGATTCGCGCATCTGTCAACGAGCAAAAAAGTCGTCCTCGGATATTTCGATTTGCATACAAGGATAAAACAACCAAGTCCATATAATTCATACATGCATGAAAAATAATTGCAGCGAGATAAATAATTTTTTTTGATCTGCCGACAAGGCCAGATTCACCGGAGTCTTAACTCCTCCCCCCCCCCCCCCCCCCCCCCCCACATGCCACAAATAAAGACACATGCATTTCTGTCTGACTGCCCTCACGATTCTACGTTAACAGGCCCCCGGGGTACCTGTCTTAGATGGTGTCAGTAACTTAGCCAGTGATATCAGAGTGGTCATCAGAGGCCAAGAGACTGGTTGTACCGATGCTAAGAACGGTTACCTACGAAGACAGATCCTTCGTAAAAGCTGCACCCGTTCCCTGGAACTTGCTTCTGTCTTCTATGAGAAAGCTCGATTCCACAGAACAGCTTAAAACACAACTTTAAAAATATTCTTTAATCTAAACTTGAAATTGCCTGTACATTATTTGTTGAACTATTATTCAACTATTGTATAATTTGCATAGGCTATTCATTGTCGCGCCTTGATCGATAGTCTCCTGATACGTGCGTTTGACGCCCCTGGTTCTTTCCTTGTCATAATGTGTAATTATTATAGCAGTTCCTTTGCACAACCTTGTTCTTGATAGGACTATGGGGTCTGGTGAACAACGCCGGTATTGCCAATTTACCTGGTCTCATCGATTGGTGCACGAAGGACGACTACAAGCGCGTGATCGACGTCAATCTCCTGGGCGTCATCGATGTCACATTAACCTTCTTACCTCTACTCAAGAAAGCTCGAGGTCGAGTGGTCAACATCGCTAGCGCCCTCTCGCGGGTGGCCATGGGATCAGGAGGATACGCTGAATCGAAATATGGTGTCCAAGCATTCTCTGATACGCTCAGGTAAATCAAACCCAAACAACAACCAAGGATACAGCAAAATATTGATACAATTAAGCAGGACATAACAAAAGAATTACATATCGGATAAAAATTGCACACATATCTAGAACAGGGGGGGGGGGGTCATGAAAAAAAATCCCACGGGGTAGGCCTACCACTAAACAACTTGGATGTGTGTAGGGGATTGTTGGACCAAATTAGCTGACAATTAAGGTAACCAAACATTTCAGATGGCGAGATGGGGAGGGGGGGGGGGGGGTATGTGAGGATGATTTTGTGTTTGAATTTAGGAACCGATTTTCCTGCAAACACAGCGCGCTGAGTTCATCTCCGACTTCTGAATCGTCGACAGTTACCACCACTTCCAGCCCACACGGATAGCCAGCAAATGGCCTCTACATTCATCCACTTCTTCCAGACGAAAGTCAAGACCATCTGCGACAGTTTATCACCTGACAAAACACCACACCATCCCCTTACTTCCTCTTCCTTTGAAGTAATACAACCTACTACCCCCTACAGAGATTATGTCACTCTTACGTAAACTACCCCCCAAATCATGTCAGTTAGACCCTGTTCCCACTAAATTATTAATGGACTGTTCCTCCACATTCGCTCCCATCCTTTCTTACTTGATTAACTTGAGTTTAGAGCAGGCACATGTTCCTTCCTTATTGAAAATAGCTCATGTTACTCCGTTGTTGAAGAAACCTTCTCTGGACCGAAATTCCCTCCAAAATTATCGACCAGTTTCAAACCTACCGTTTTTGTTCAAAATTCTTGAAAGGGTTGTGTTTTCTCGTCTTTCGGATTATTTTCTGGACAATGATTTGTTCGACCCTTTCCAGTCAGGTTACAGAACCCATCATAGTGTGGAAACACTGCTTGTGAATGTGTCCAACTATATCCTGCAAGGGATGGATAGGGGTAACTCAACTGCTCTCCTGCTGCTAGACTTGTCCTCCGCCTTCGACACCGTTAATCACACTATCCTTTTGAACACACTTAGTTCACTTGGTGTCAAGGGTGAGGCATACAAATGGTTCGAGTCTTATCTGTCATACCACTCTCAGATCGTTTGTATTAATGGTTGCAAATCAGTTGCTTTGCCTCTCTCTTGTGGAGTACCACAAGGTTCTGTGGGCGGGCCCACTCTTTTCTCAATTTATTTAATTGGATTGCGACAAGTTTTGTTACAACATGGCATAGATTATCATATTTATGCAGACGATATTCAACTTATGATTTCCTTCAATTCAGATCAAGCCGCTGCAGAACGAGCCGTTCATCGCCTTGAATCTTGCATGGCTGATGTTCTTGATTGGTTGCTCGCACATTCCTTGAAATTAAATTTAGACAAATGTGAATTCCTTATATTTGGTTCCAAAGTACAGCTTAGTAAAGTTAATATCAATTGCATTTCATTTTCTGGCCACATAATTCACTTGTCACAAACGTGTCGCAATCTCGGTGTTATGTTTGACTCACATATGACAATGTCTAACCAAGTTCTTAATATTTGTAGATCTGTAAGGTACCACTTGCGTAATATCGGTTTTATTCGTAAATATTTGTCCAAGTCTGCCACCGAAAAATTAGTTCATGCTCTGATTTCCTCCCGTCTTGATTTTGCCAATGCCCTCCTAATCAATCTACCCCAGAATCTAGTGTCCAAGCTTCAGAAGCTTCAAAACGCTGCAGCTCGTATTGTTTCTCTGACCACCAAGCGTACCCACATTTCCCCAGTTTTGCAGTCGCTACACTGGCTCCCAGTAAAAGATCGCATTGTTTTCAAAATTTTGTTGCTCACCTTTCATTGCGTTCACGGCTCTGCTCCTCAATACCTTATCTCTCTAATCCAAAACTACACTCCTGCAAGACCTCTACGCTCATCCACTTCCAATTTTCTTGTAACCCCCAAAATTACCAAAACGTGGGGGGAAAGATCTTTTGCATACTCTAGTCCTAAATTATGGAATGGCCTTCCTGAAGACATCAAAAAATGTTTATCCTCTGATTCTTTCAAAACTCATCTCAAAACATCTCAAAACCTTGAGCACTCCACAGAGTGGATTTGGCGCGATATAAGTTACATTATTATTATTATTATTATTATCTATTATTTTTGTTATGCTCCATATCCCGCTTTCCTTTCATTTTTGTTTCTCTTTCTATATTACCCTTTTCCGTTAACCACAACCTGTTTCCCTGGTCGTCCTGTGGCAAGACATTAATCTGCATTTACCACTCTACACTCAGGTGATGTAAATGGGCGCCCGGTAGGAATACATTCCTCCAATGCCAGAGCGTCTTATGAGGGCCGCTCGGCTGATGTCTGGGGACAGCAGTCCTGAATCTGGCCGATTTAATTTCGATCTCCACCACACCAGCGTAATGCGACCTCCCCCTACTCACTTGTTGCCAGCCGAAGATGGCGTTGATCATTAAATTGGGACGCCCGGCGAAAAATCTTAAACTGGGGCATAGGGCTGGTATCGTAAATGTTTTTTTACACAACTGTTCGAGCGTATGAGGTCGTTGGTAACGCCATCTTTGGCGGCTTGAATCCAGTTTAGGGATTTATATAAAGAACCGGCCAGATTCGTGAATAGGGTAATAAAAGTAATTTTTAAGAAATAGTAGTATTAAACGCTATAAATTTTACAATTATCATGGTAACAGCATTCACTGGTTAAACGAACTGAATATACTTTTTTTTTACTTGACTTTTTGGATATGTTTAGGAGAGAAAGTCGTATGATGAACTACGGGATCAAAGTGAGTATCCTAGAGCCTGGTTTCTTCAAAACCCAGCTTACCAGCCCTGAGAAGACTAGATCGGAGATTAAGAAGAGTTGGGATCGGTTATCAAAGGAGAAACAAGCGGAGTTTGAACCAGACATGCATGAGAAATGTAGGTTAAATTAGTAAGATGTAGTGATGATGATGGTGGTGGTGATGATGATGATGATGAGATAGTGGTGGTGATAATGATGGTGGCGGATGTGATAGTGATGCTGCTGATGATGGTGATGATGATGATAACAATGATAATAATAATAATTATGGTGATGATGATGAGATGGTTGGTGGTGATGATGGATTGATAGTGGTGGTGCATGGTGGTGGTGGTAGTGATGAAGATGAAAGTGATGTTGGTGTTGATGGTGATGATGCTTATTATCTATTGTGGATGGATGAGAGCACACTAAAAGCTATAATGTTTTGTATCGTAATCTATATTTCTTTCTCTCAACACAGTATCGAACATCTCCGTCAACTTCATGAACTTCGTCTCTTCCCCCAACCTAACCATCGTAACCAACGCCATGATGCACGGGCTACTAGCCCGCTGGCCCAAGACCAGATACTCATGTGGACTAGATATGAAGGTCATCTTCATCCCGCTCTCCTACGCTCCGACATGGTTCACTGATTTCTGGATCGGCCGGTCCACTATGAATGACAAAGCACCTGAAGAAAAAAGAAAAGAGAACGAGCTACAGTCCGGCGCCTTTGGATCCATGTTTGTCGCTACGAATAATTAGTGCCACGGGCATCAATACCTGGCGGATTTTTGTGCCATAATAATTATAAATCGCCACTTTTTAAGTTCGTGCCAGCCACAATTTTCCTGCAACAATTAAAGTAATTACAGTAGTTTGATTGCAGTAAACAAGCAGAAATAGAAGAAGGACTCATTTTGTGTACAGATGGCAAAGGCTGATCTTCCTTTTACCAAAATAATATGATTCTTTGGCCGAGCGGGCGGGTGGGGCACAAGTCCCCAATGTCTGTGACATACACAAAAAGGCGTCATCCCATTCTAGTTGTTTTCTTCCCTTCATCTTTTTTTTTTTTTTTTTTTTTTTTTTTTGGGGGGGGGGGGGGGGGGGGTCGGGGGGAACACGTACCCTAATTATCCCCCTTTCCCCTGCCCGGACCTGCCACTGCATGAAATCAAATTTAATATATGCAATACGGTGCGTGCATAACATATCGACTTGTATGAAAACAGGATGAATGTGTTATTGTAAAACTGCATTCTACATTCGATAATGATAGAGATAGTACTTTCTTTTATATTTGCTCTTTATTGTTATAACGAGATGATGAAACTCCGTTTTGTTATTTTTGTATGGTGATTTGTCATTGTATCAGAAGAAATCTGAAATAAATACATGTAGAACAATTTGATTCAATATTTCAACTCTTCATTGATTCGTTTATACTTTCTGTTTCTTTTGTTCTTCTAACAAGATATCTATTTCAAATTGGCGCTGCCATTTTACCCATGGGAGTTTATTGTCATACTTTGGTTTTTCTGTAATTTTCAACGGGGAAAACCCCTTATTATTCTATTACAGATAAACATTTCCCATCCCGCAGTTGATGAAAACAATTAAACGCAATTGTGTTTGTGGCAGATTCGATTTGAAAAGGGAAAAAAGGTATACTATTACCAATGTTTTTGATGAAGTAAAACCAGAGCGACCACAGGTGGTAGTTCCGAAGCCTCATTTTTATTTTATTCTGATATTGGATTTAATTGAAGCTATCGCTCAGGGAGGAAATAACAACTAGTGCAAGAGCGGAAAAACGAAGATCCTAACTTTGATCAAAATAATATATCCTGAAATTAGATTAAGGGTTTTTTGCCAAACTTGGTTACAAATATTAAGAAACTCTCTTTGGAGCCAAAGTAGTGATAACGCTGCGTAAAGTAATATGGTTCCACGTCCTTCTAGCGCCAAACATACACAAAATCTACCTCTGTGGAAGCGGAGATAAAGTGTCCAATCTATTTCCATGCAGTGAGCAAAATATGACACCTAAAAGTATGAGAAAATGTGCGAAATCATCAGGAAAAACTGTTATCTTAGTCATGACGTCATTCATTACCTACGTTAGGCAACTCATGGTGCATAGGATATCGATGAGGGTGGGGATGAAGGGGTGGCATCCTCGGTCAATTTCCTGCTGAGAATTCCATAGTAATATTGTCGCGATTTATGGGATTTTTAAAAATATTTTTGTTGTTTTTGGTGGTCAGGAAATGACAAGCTGGTCCTGTTTTATTTTACGATTTCTGTGCCTGTGTGTTTGTTGAAAACGCGTCCTATTATATGGTTACATGACAATGTTGCATCCATATTGGTAAATGCATGGTGTGAGTGTACACGTGATTCAAACAAGCAGAGTGCTTTAGGTACGTGTACATGAACACTGGGTCATGTACCCCCCCCCCCCCCCCCCCCCATCTAATCGAGTGGCAGAAGAAGGGGGCATTGGAAAGGGAAAGGGACATATATTGATAATACGATGGTTTAGCCCCTCCCACACCACCAGTACAGTATATTGTATTTGTATCTGGTTACTTCGATATTCCGTATATTATGTGTCTCGTAAAGCCACGCCCCTCATCGTGATAATAGCTGGACTTGTGCCATTGTGAGGGAGTGGAGAATGTGCATATATTTGAAGTGAGTCATATTACCGGGTAATCTGTAACGTGCTTAGAGACATCGTCGGTGTAATTAAACACTATATAAACCTATAATATTATTATGATTACACAATATGTCTGAGCTGAACTGTCTAGACGTAGTATACCTACATTTTTAATTATCTTAAGTTGTCGTGTGATTCATTTGTAATCCAGAATGTTTGTTTATATAAGACAAACATTTATTCAATTTGATCTCTATCAGCTGTGCAACCTCTATTAAGAAGGGACACGTTTAACCAACCCGAATGCTGAGTAATGCTATAAATGTATCTTTAGGAAGCGTTCATCCTATTTTGATAAACTTTTGTAGGATGGCAGAACAGGAAACCATGTACATGCATTTCCTTTGATCATTATATAGCCCCATTGTCATTATCAACCATTGATCACATACATGACATAAGCCTACTCTATAAAGTATACAGTCAAACCTATCTTAGTGGCCACCTCCGTGAAGACCACCTGCCTATAAGTGGTCATGCATATAAGCCCTCTCTCGAGGGGAATATGTGCGCTGCTTTTTGTTTTACTGTGGTGGACGTAATAGACAGGTTTGACTCTACTAGAATATTGTAGAAATAGAAATAAAATAATTTAGATTTACGTGTATCTGTAAATTTGACATAATTATGAGTAAGCTGTGGGACATTTTTGACCTATTTGCATCGAACCAAGCGTTAGAGATAACACAACCGTAATGTCTCTTTAATGAGGTTTGCCAGACCTAACAACGAGTAATGAATGCACAATGGTGCATCACCATAGGACGATCGGAAAGACTTTCAAGAAATAAACATACAGGAAATTGTAATACTATATTTCATTAGCTATCAGAAAAAATCATGTTCAGTTTACGTAACTGTCATTGTCAGTATGTTTGCACATTTCAAAGGCAGTCTGTACTAGTTTGTCTAAGAGGGATTAGACCACCCAGAGTGGTCACTGATAGGTGGTTATCTCACGAAGTCAGCTCTCAATTAACATAAGAAAAAAGGGGATCATGGGGTACTAATGGTCACCGATTAGGCATTGTTGTCTATATAGAGGGAGCAAGTAGCTACAAGTAGTACTTAAGACGTGACGCTCAAGGCTATTGAAATTGCTTCGCGTTGATTTCTCGAAACTTCTTGCGATCACGTTGAGATTATTTATTGGATTAACCATGTCCTTATTTCAATGGTTTCATTATATCCTCTTTACTCAGCAATACATGATTGTTCTAGTCAATGTAATTCTTTATTGTGGTCTAATGTATCATTCATTATAAGTATGTTATCAGCCACATGACTCGATGTAGTTCCTTTCTGTTTTGTGGTCAATATCCATCCATAGGGAGCATTGATCTTTGGGGGGGAGCATTATTTCTAGGCCTATAAACAGATTGCTAAATGAATTATAAGCCTCTATTTATTAGAACCAATCGGATGTAAACTACACTAACACCGGCTAACTCCTTTGTACTATTATAACCATTGTGTTTTATTTTCATTGTGATGTCACATGGAAAACATAATATGCTTTACTATCATCTCTATCATATTATATTCAGGAAGAATCGCTGTTATGATAGTATCGTTACAAGATTTGTACAGCCTCCAACAATCGTAACGTTATATCTTGAGTCAGTATTAATGATTTGCCATAAACATATGCCCTCATTTCACAATGTGGAGCTTAAAAGTCAACCCACCCCTTTCTCTCTCTCTCTCTCTCTCTCTCTCTCTCTCTCTCTCTCTCTCCTTTCTCTTTATCTCTCTCTCTCCTTCTCTCCCTCTTTCTTCTTCTTCTTCTTCTTCTGCTTCTGTTTCTTCTTCTCTCTCTCTCTCTCTATCTCACTTTCTCTCTCTCCCTTTCTCTCTTCTTCTTCTTCTTCTTCTTCATCTTCTTCTTCATCTTCTTCTTTCTCTCTCTTTCTCTCTTTCTCTCTCTCTCTCTCTCTCTCTCTCTCTCTCTCTCTCTCTCTCTCTCTATCTCTCTCTGTCCACAGCAACATGTACTCCAATTCCGTAATGGACATGATATATTTTTTATGAGCAATGTTGGAATCAAAATATTTCTGGATATGAGTCATATGTAATTACATTCAATACGAATTTTGATTTCATTTGCTGGTAGTAATGCAAATCCATGATTATGCACATTTTTTAAAGCCGAAGAGGTACGAAGTCCACAGAGTTTTTTTTTGACATACAACATTGAACACACTTTTACAGCATTGTGCTAAACATTCATTTTCCCACAGTTGTAATGGGCTTTGTTTTGCATTGCCAGCATATTTGAAAGTTCACATGCAGAAATAACTACACGTACAAGGCGACTAATGTAGGGGGCTTTGTTTTTTTTCCTTTCCTACAATTGTATTCATGTTTGTTTTTTTTTCTCTTCAGTATAGCTTTGCCAAATAGGGCATCGATTGTGGTTGTCTGAAGATTATTATGGCCCCAACACCCCTAACCCCACCCCCCCCCAGGATTATTTGTGATCATTCCGTTATTTTGATACCAAGCATGCTGTTTATGAATAAACAAACTCATTATCCTCATTACTGAAACGATCATTATCAATTTGAACCAAAATATTGTTTTTGTCATAATTATTGGCCTTGTTGTTTTCTCCGGAATTTTGATTTGTTTTTGCCCTGTTCAGAGAGCATGATTTGTGAGAGAGGTATGCTAATGATTTAATTACCAACTGATTCATATATCATCTAATGACCCGTGCATAATGAAGGCAACGACGTTTGTGCATGGACGTCACGGATCTTGAGCACAATCTGTTATTATTTCCCGGTTATTTTGTGAGCTTTTATTATTTTAGTTTGAAAAATACTACGATAATTAGACCTGGTAAACAAGAAACTGGGAGTTGTATGCTTTGAAGCATAACCATTCATTTAAGGAACGTCATAATTATTTTCCCCTTTTATCTCTTCTTAAAGATATAGACCGGTAGTATTAAAAGTGAGGTTCAAGGGTTTAAATATATGACCAAATGTTCAACGTTGAAGAGCATTCGCGATATCTATACAGGCCGGATCGATATGATAATTTACCAAATATATCGATTAGTAGGCGGTTTCCCAGCAAAATTTGTATGATCACGTATTAGTAAAAACATATTCTTTCGCATGATTGGTAATAAGAGCTTCCATTTCATTTTTTTTTGAGAGGGTGGCGTTTCCAAAACTGGTCTATACCTTTAACCCCCCCCCCCCCCCATTCATACCATCCCGTAAAAATGTGCAACTTTCCGGGGTTTTTTCTCCTTCATTTTATTGAAATAATTACCTCAGCAGCCGAGGCAACTGATTACACAAGATGGTGTTAAATGAGTATAAAGAATCTACTACAGCCCCCCCCCCCCCCACCTCCACACCGACTCCTAATTGAACGACTATTGGCCATTTGGTATAACGTGTTCGGTGTTGTCGGTCTAGTTGTTGAGGTATTATTCGTCTTCTCTAGACTCTGGTATGCAGACTCACTGTAGCTTCTCCACTCAGCTTTATATTGGGACCAACCTGCCTGCCCGCCATACGTATACCTGCCAGGTCACCAAAGGTGTGTGATTGTTATGATATCAGGATGACAATAGACTCGCTTCAACCCACCAGTTGACAAACACAATCGTTCACTGCGAGGAGAGAGGGTCGTGATTCAGAAACGATCAATAAACATTGGACAAGTTGAAATTCGTCTCCTCTTCGTCTGCTTCTGTTCAGTCGAAACTTCAACCAGCGCAGTTTGTTATTAACATACCTCCACGCACACACCTCGACGCACACCAGCTTGGTGAAATATATATCTTAGCCCATACGTGTAGTACACTGGGGAGACAATCATTTTAATTTAACGTCCACGAAAGGAACTCTTCTTTATGAGTTCTCAAGTCGTCTGACTGCAATGGATTTAGTGACTATACTCTTTGATGAATTGTCTGCGAAATGTTTACAGTGTTAGCTCATAATGCGAAACGCCCATTAACCGTGAACTATAACTGCAAACGTTATTTTGCATCATATATACATCGTGGTGGTTATCGTTTGAAAGTATTATCAAGCAGTTGATACTTCTAGACTGTAGAGAGGAACACTTCTCAACATCGTAACAGGTAAATACAGTGATCTTTACTTTATAATCATGAAGACATGAACATTGAAAGGGCCCGATTTACGTTGTTACAAAATGGTATTGACATTCATGCGTTGTTTATACCATTATTTCAGTTTATCATCAGTTTATCATTACATATATTATCCTGTTGAATGTGACCTTCGCTGGTTCGTCTATTAGTTCTAAACCTTAAAATATTCCTTATTATTCATTTCATAATTCTCATTTGGTTTATGTCACACGAACACAACTTACTCTGAGAGTAAGCAACAAAGAATATTGAGGTTAAATTTTGACCAAATTTCAGACGATTTACTTAGTAAGTTACTTGTAATCTTTGTTTGTATCAGTCTCCCGACTGTTTTAACAATGAATTTTGATTCAATAAACCGAAATGTAAGAATAAGCTACGTTTAATAAAGCTCAGGTTTGGCCTCATTCTTCTTTATTTATTCATTTTGTTAAAAAAAACTGTCAATTAAGTAAGGCCTATTCTCCAACGTATACATAACTATGCCGTTGGATTGGCTGGGTTAGATATCAAGATGTCAAATCCATAACTTTGGGGTTTTGTTTTCTGATCAGTGCACAGGGTTTAACATATAGTTTGACAATCTTTCACAACGACATGGGTCAAATAAAAAGTTGATAAACTTAAGCATAATGAATGAAAATAAATAATTGGTGACATGAATCATGGCTTTCCACCATTTGCGGAAAGAGTTGCGTTTAGTGGTAATTCATCACACCCCTATTGATAAAGGTTGTTTTAATTCAACCTAAGAATTTTAAAAGGATATGTAACCATTTTCCTAAGCTCTAATAATAATATGACTTATTCGTGGTTAAAGTAACCTACGTACATGTATTTGAAACACAAACTTCTAAATTTAGGTGATGGCTGTGCTTGGTTACCTTAATTCTCGGGATTTCAAAAGGATATGTAACCAAGTTCCTCAGCCTTGATTTGACTTATCATTGGTCAATTTAGCCTACGACTTCGAAAACACATACCGTCTAAATTGATACAACTGCCACACTCATGAGACCGTCACCAGACCGAACATGTAATACATTACCCCGAATGGCCAGGAATGTTCGGCTTGGAGTCGGTTTGAATTCGGTTGGCGGTGCGACGAAGCTAGGTATAAGCATGGAGATATAAGAAGAGATCTCCATGGTATAAGCAATGACCTACTACGTGGTATAAGTTGATAAGTTTGGAAATATGTCACCCCATGCTGTTTTGAGTGAGTCTGCAATATGAGTGGGTCTGTATTTAAAATTGAGGTGAATTTATTAAAAAACATGACCCAAATTCGAGGTTCATAATATGAAACTCGTGGTATGCCTGATGTCAAAGGGATCAAGGGTTTATTAGAAGTCGGTTTTGGTTGCACTGTTCCATTAATGTTGATATATAGCATTACCCATTTTACATTTTTTTAATGTCTTTTATTTTACAGAAATCACAAATTGTAAATTTCATAAAGGGCATCATATTGGTTTTCCAACTCATTTTGGCAAAAGACTCATTCAAATTCGTCACTTCTGTTTGGGGTTCACGTCTCTCTCTCTCTCTCTCTCTCTCTTTCTCTCTCTCTCTCTCCGTGCTTCTCCTTTTACTTTCTAATTTTTCTGTCACCCATAGCACTTTAAAAGTGATATGTCTTAGCTACTGAATGTCTCTTTAACGACCTCTTTCAAATTTACGCCATGTATAATAATGTAGGCCTATATCCTTTCATATGAACAAGATTCATGAGCGTGCTATATAAGAAGCCCACATAGACAGAGTTAGAGCTCTCAGATTAGATCATGAACCATATATCAGACATTAAGCGCCCTTAATGTTGTGCGAACCGGAGTTGAGAAATTATATGCCCATTCAAAAGATAATGTGTGGTCAAGGATGACTGCAATTGGACAATTATCATGAATGTCCCGCCTAGTGTGACATAAAGTCGGCAAGTAAGCATGTAGTATGCTTATGGAAACGTAGAAAACCAACTCGATGTTGATGGAGTTGTTTTAGGAAGGGGGTGCTAAGGGCACTTAGCCCTTAAACTCTAGAAATTTCTACTGTTACAAAATGTTCTAACCATGCAAAGCAATAGAACTTATGCCTCAGTCACAACTTTGGGTATTTGGCTTGCGTATTGCTGCGTATTTATGGCAAGCAGTTTGAACATTTATTTCTATTTCTTGATATTGAGAGTTACCATTGCTTTACAACAGAAAACCATTACTAGATATCAACAATTCAATTATTGATATCAAGAAATAGATATAAATGTTAAAACGGCTTGCCATAAATACGCAGCAATGCGCAAAGGTGTGACTGAGGCTAGCTAATGGCTTTCGGGGCATACTCCAATAAGAACAATACCTATATAAAAACAGCGCGGTCAAAGCTGTCAAAGCATCAGGGCTTTTGAAGCATTTGTCTCTGCAATAATTACAGAGGTCAATCTGCGATTAAACCAGTCGTTTAAATTCATTTTGTTGTTGTCAACAAATTAGTTTTGTTATGGTTAAGTTCATAAGTTCAGCTATATATCATGGAGTTGATATTATAGAGATCTCCCTTGAGTCTGTTGTCTATGAACTATAAAAGTTCTCTCCCGCTCCATCCCGCCCGTCCCCCTGTCCCCCCCCCCCCCCTCTCTCTCTCTCTCCCTCTCTCTCTCTCTCTCTCTCTCTTTTTTTCTTTCACTCTTCCCTCATACTATCTTCCTCCCTCTCTATTTTATATCTATATTTTTTGTTTCCATTACAAACGTTCACTTTCATCTCCGTCACATTTTTGAGTGGCATACGTGGTTCCGAGTCGCTTATGACTCGGGACCGATATTGAGGGTGGCTGTCACGATAACAATCATGCAATAATCGCAAACATGTCAGATTACATGACCATGCAAATAGGACTATAAGCTAGACAGAGTTGTCTATCTTTTAATGTCAAAAAGATAAACCAGGCGTCAGTATGGTCCCTTGATAATCAGATGTAAAACCTGTTTCATTTAAAGGCTAGCTCACCCAATCTCACCGGACGGAAAGTGCTTTGGGTACCCTGAACGGAAACACTTTGACAAACTACTTCCGGTGCTAAGAGGTCATGGTAGCATGTGTAACTATACGATTGGACCCATCATAGATGATAGTGACAACAAATACACCTCACACCAATTACATTATTAAACAAAGACTGTCGCACCGATTATATAATTAAACATAATCCTTGCCTACCGCCGCGGCAAACTAAAAATAACAGGTGCGGTTAATGTACTAATTGATACATGTGTTTGTATGACTTTGTGTTTCTGAAGACATGTGATTATATTAGGCATCTGTTTGTGATCTCAGAAAATTATAGGAAGACTACCCCGGGCCACCGGACAACTGCATCGCGACACGACTCAACTGTCTCCATCCGTTTACTTTCTCTCAGATCTTTTGATAAATTTCAGTTTTAGTGAAAAAAGTATCCGAACACATTAATTGTCCTCCTCAATCCTTTTTCTTAGAGTTCCTTAAAAGTAGCTAATATAAATTGCAAGAAAACTGTAGTAATTTGGGAATCGTTTTATAATTCTTCATATGATTTATAAGGGTATTGTTGTTCGAATGGAGCTGTGCGGGATTCACTTGGTGACTGTGTCTTTTTTTTTCTTCTTCGTTTAAGGATTATCGGTATGAGAATGAGGCTCAATGCTCTCTCTCCATTCTCCTCTTTCTTGGCTCCTTGTAAAATATCTTGTTATTATCGTGATTATACAAAACATCGGATATGACGTCATGCAGGAAGCTACTTGCTACCTGGAATGATGAAAAGACCATTTGAAAAAGAAAACAAAACCTGAGCTTACAAACTAATAGGCCTACGCAATCAAATCCCGGATTCTCCCAACGAATAATACCATGAACCTAAGGTTCATGATAATACGCAGTTGTCTGCAGCCACAACACTATTGTAGCTAATAACGGGTCAATTAATCTCGTAACCGAACAATAATCATCCGAAATGGTATTAAACCTCTAACAGGATCCTCTTCCAAAGGTTACAAAAGGCCGCTGGTATGCCTCCGGTTTAGAGGTGCCTCGTATTGAACTCTAAAGTTAAAAAGTAATTGTTAACACCTCACTATGAAAAACCAGGATGCCAGAGTATCTAGGCCAAGCTTAATTAACAGCAACTTGAAAAATACATCAAAAAAAAACTTGGAAATGCCCATAGGCGTATGTAAGGGCAATTTCTTAAAGGTACTATGCATGTATGTCCCATTTTCAGGTCCGAAAAATTAAAAGGTTAAATTCCAACGGCATTTGAAAGACAATATTTAGAACTTCCCTCATAACGAAAGGGTTTGAAAATGGCTTTTTTTTTGGGGGGGGGGAATAACGACAATTAGTTGTCGAATCATTTTTGGGCGGTGTTTGGTTAACATACATAACATGGTATAGTCGGGTAAAATTGCTCGTACTTCTGAATATATTACCCCATGCCCGGGCCCCATGCTCATCTATATTAGGCATAGTTATTTCTTAAAGATGAAGTTGAGTTCTGGTCATGCGATTGCATTGTGAAAGCATCGGTGTGGAATCGATCAGAAAAAGTTGATCATCTAGCATATAAGAATTTGTGTGTATTGCAAGGTTCTAGAATCATCAAAATGATAAGAAATTTGGCCAAGTCTTGGTAAGATTCAAACACTGTACACAGAAAGATGTATATGGGACTACACAAACACGTGGCGAAAAATCCTACCCCCGAGTTTTACGATGTTACATGACATATTTAGAATATGAAGGCATTTGAAGAGCCATGCTTTTCAGGGAGCATGTCTTATCTGATGTTCTTCCACACTTGCATAAGAAGAATGATAACGCTCACAAATTATTTTTCACCTCTTCCAAGAACTCAACCTTCTCTTTAAAAATCTGTCGGAATGAAAACAAAAATCATTTTCACATTGTCACGGTCACGTCACGATCAAAGTTCAGATGAAAATATTGAAAATCTTCCAAATATAGAAAATAGACACCACTCCGACAGAGTCACCGGAAAAAATAGTGAAATAGAATTACCGCTAAAAGGTATACGCGTCCTGAATATAGACGCGGGGTAGGTTCAGACAGGTCGTATGTGCCATTGGTAGAAGTTGGATCGATGGAAGTTTGATTTTTTGTTGAACTTTCAAGATCATCTTTACGAATTTCAGGATCATCATTATAAGGTTTGGTTAACTTCGTGATTTGAATTTACGAGATTCGAAGGAGAACAAAGTCGGTAAGATCACTTTTTTTAAAACTTTAATTAGTTACTGAGATTCAGATAATTCATGGGTATCGGCATTGACAGGTGGAGGTATACCAGCATAAACAGCATTACCGTAGGAACAGAGAAGGTTTTAAGGAGGGTGTATGGGTGGCACATTTTTGGCAAATTTGCGAAAGGAGCGTTTTCGTAGATATGGACTATATTCATGCATTTGCAACTTATCTTGTTCAGGTGAACATTATTATCTTTTTAAAATTGTCAGCGCTGAGATCTCCACACCTCGTAAATAGGAAAAAAAAACCAAGCAAACGGATGAATTTCATGTCATAGATACTATGTGTGCCTTCACAGATGCTACTACTCTCAATGTCAGTTGTTCGATTGATAATTTATGTGGCTTCGTAAATTCATCACCTTTAATATTGTCCGCCATAATTCTGTAATATCCGCTTAGTACTTGGATAATTTGTTGTAAGACAACTTACGGTATTTGCATTTGGGCAAATGCAGCAGCCATTGCAAACTCGTTGAACAATGTTATCCGACACCCTCACTCTTTCACTTACTGAGGGAAATGTATTTGGGTCGATTATTCTTTTTTAATTTTTTTAAAAAATAGAGTATAATCAAAGTGAAACCACGAACACTCGTGCAAAAAGTCATTAAATAATTTTGCTATGAATCCTACTTCCTTTCACAAGTGCATGCTTATGCAATTTTCCCGGTTTGATATGAAAGTCCCTTCACAAAAGTTCCTGTTAATTAGTTTTATAACCGAAAAACAATATTCTACTTCTTTCGCTTCTTTTTTTCTAGGAACTCAACTAATTTAGGTTTAATGGGTTACAGAATAGAAAGTATGAACGCATTCATGTTAACTTGGTAATGAGCATGTTCGAAGGTACTCTATGAGTGCAGTGGAGTAGAAATCCACTTTTGGTGGAGTCATACTTAATAATAATAGTGGGTTCTTGTATAGCGCTCATGTCTGTGAGACTTTACATTCCTGGCGCTCCACAATATATTACCCCGGTTTTATATATGGCTGCCATTATGGCGCTCTGTGGCATTTCAAGGAAATAATTCTTGCGGTGGGACTCGAACCGCGGACCTTGTGATCCACAGTCCGGTGACGTATCCATTCGACCACGACACTTTTGGGGTCACTTCGTTTGGAATAGAAATCCGCGCTCGAAAAGTAGTGGTTGAAGCTCTCAAAAGGTTCATTAAAACCACTATTTTTAACTGGATTCCACTATAATGTGAACATTATTCATCATAAATGTATGTGATACTGTTGCCTACTGCGACCCTCATGCTTACACAGTACTTGCATCTTTAGCATGATAATATGGTCATTAATGCCTTGAATTATGTCCTTTTGTCTACGCTAATGTATACACATTTTCATTTTCACTGATTAAAAATGCAATCGAATCTGCATTTCGGCCATTTGGCTGCGAACATGATTACCTAACGATAAACTGTTTCGAATAAATAGATAAAATGCTATTCCTTTAAAAAGTGGATATCTAATCCACCGTGACTCCTCGATCTTCATGTATGAGACTGCATCTGAATGAAATCTAGACATGTACAATCTACTGTGTTTAATAATACTTAAGAAAAATAAAACAAGATTCGTTTTTTTTAAATACACAAAGCAAAACCAAAACAAGATCGGATGTATATCATCGTAGCCATACTAGGGTCGGCGAAACCATAAACAATGCAATGCAATTCCTCGCAAGTTTGTGTTATCTTTAAGACATGAAACAAGTGATTTATTTAATCTGAAGTTTGAGATTACTCTGACTAAATCCTATTTAATCAATAACACGGATAGTGATATAATAACATAAGAAGGGGAAAAAAGCAAACAATGAGTCACGGACAATGACCAAAGTACACCTTGCCTTATCAAGTTATCACTGCCTATGTAAATTTGCTAACATAACAATCACACACTACACTAATACATGAAATACATTTTTATACAATGTCTGTACTACACTCACAAAACGTACTGACTGGGTCAGAGTTTATTGAAAACGAATTTATTAACATCTGGAAAATGAATAAATGGACAAGATATCATAGATGCTAGTAAAAAACCAAGCTCACTTCGGTTTGTAGAAAGTCCAACAAAATATGACCGATGTAAAATCCGTGAGTCTCGTTTAAAGTTTGTTGTTCAAATTCTTGAGCTATTTTCCGTGTTTTTTTTTTTTTAATTTAAGATTTTGTAACAACCCCCATTATATTTGAAAGAAAAAGGCGTTGAAATAATGCTTTAAATGACCCCGTCAATATGGATCTGTTTATGTGTATCATTGTCGGTAAATCATGAAATGGTACACTGTACTACGCTAATAGTCTCTTTACAACATTTTTCATCCAAATATGCTACTACTGAATTAATGAATAAACATTCCTTCATCTATTGTCATTTCCATACCCTTCTTATGTACACGAGATGTAATTTCGATTGCGTCATCTCTTACGCTATTAAAGCATGTTAAAGAAGGCAAACAGTGCACGCGCAAGCACTCCAACTACCCTGCTTATCAAGTTAGTTTTGCATTCATTTTGTGTACTTGTTCAAACTTTTAAAGCGATTTTAACCACTCTCCCTCAGTACATCTCCTTACTAATTTCAGCAGGAGAGAACATCATACTTCACTCCGATCTAAATCAACTCCTTCCCTTCTCATTCCCAAATCCCCAAAACAGGCTGGCTTCAAATGCTTTCGATCTGTTGCCCGACACATATGGAATAATCTCCCTGTATTTCTAAGAAATAGTACTTCACATTTCTATTAATTCTTCAAAAACATCTGACAACTTACCTCGAATATTCTTCTCAATTTGTTGATTGACTGAGGGATAGCGACTTGTATCCTCTGAAAAAGGCGCTATAAACATCCTATTGTTAACATCATCATTATTATTGTTATTATTATTATTATCATTACTATTGTGGTTGTTAATATTATTATTATCATCATCATCATTAACACGAGGCGCTATTACCGAGTCTATCTCACATGTCGCGTCAGAGAACGCATTATTCATTGGCGCAGTCTTACGTCAGCAATAACGCCTCGTGTGCAGCAGTCTCCAATAAACCCTTCGTGCCCACTCACTCACTCCTCCATTCATGACTGATATCTTCTGTCGCGTCATGATAATCAGGTCAACTCAGTGACGTCACAATACATGTTTATGTTTTAATCATAACCATGATATTGCTATTCCCTTTTCCTGTATGGTTGCCAGTCTAGTCACTTTCTAAATAGGTTTGTTATGTTTGCTTTGAGTAATGAAATGACGGTGCGTATAGACTTATATTCTAAGTAGGCATATTGGTATACTCTGTGTATATTTATGAATGAAATTTTCGTCAGGTGATCTTGAGTAAGGTATAAATGAGCAAAGTCTGTTTTGGGGGTCCTCATAGCGGTGACAGGTGTATGCGTATAAAGGACTTCGAAAGAGATCAAAGGTACGTTTGTGTGTTTGCGTTTGAGTAACAGATTCTGCTCCTCTCCCCTTGGTGTGTTGAAAGTTGAGCTTGTTAAGCCATGTGTCACTGTCGCTATTCAATCTATGGTTCGTCCGAGACAATTAAATTATTTTGCCGTCAGGCGATATACTGTTAACCCGAATCTTTAATAATTGTATAGTATTGTATCAATGTGAATAGTAACAAGACACTCTCTCTTTTCATTAATTGGCAGAAAATGGAGACTGGTACGATGGCTAACGTCTTGATGAACCAGACTTCGTCTTGGAACTCGACTTCCGCGACGACGACGGCTGGCAGTGACGGTCGAAACTTTGTTTTCAACGATCCGGTCCAGCGAATCATCCTCGCCGTCATCTTCATCATCGCTTTCGTCGTGGGCTTCACTGGCAATGGACTGACAATGCTGGCTGTTGCACTGAGTAGGAAACTGAGAACGATTACCAATGTGTTCGTGGTCAATCTGGCGATGGCTGACCTCCTGACCTGCTGCGTACTGCCATGGAACGCGGTTGCGTTGTTGAGCTTCAGTGGATGGCCGTTACCTGACTGGGTATGTGCAGGTGCTGCTCTGGTTCTATACACCTGCGGTGGCTGCAGTCTCTACAGCCTAGCAACCATCGCCATTAATAGATACATCATCATTACTAGGTCGCTTAAAACGTATCGCGCCATCTACACGAAAAGAAACAACGCTATTATTTTAACCATCTGCTGGTTAGTTCCTTTCTCTGTGTCGTTGATCCCGCCACTGTGTGGACTCGGCGAGCTCGGATACGCTGTCAAATATAAGACATGCTCGCACAAGACGGCCCATCCGTTGTCCGACTACTACAGCATGCTCCAAGCCGCTGTTCTGTATCCAGTTCCTCTCGTGATCGTCGTCGTCTGCTACATCAAGATCTTCCTCCATACTCGACGTCACATGAGAACGATGACGATGTCCGATTCTTCCGACACGTCGGTCACCAATACGAAGCGATCGTCACCGAACGGCACACCGCATCATGAACCAAACAAATCAGTCAAGAAGCGGCTCAACAGGCGCCAAGTAGAAATTACAAAAAATATGTTGTTTGTCGTCTGCGCGTTTGGTCTTTGCGCGTCGCCTTATTGCGTGTCGCTCATGATACCACCAAGTGATCCTGCTATCCCGTGGACAGCCGCCATCTTGCTTTTTAATAGCTGCGTGAATCCATTTATCTATGCTACCAAGCATCCTTATTTCAAGCAAGTCTTTGGTTCTATGTTGAAATGCCGATGTACAGAGATCCCAGAGCAAGCCAGCATCATCAGAACGATCTCATCCATGCGCTCTTCTTTCCGATCAACCAGGAGGAAAAATAAAAAGCCTGCCGCTCACAGGTACCATAGCGACAATATCAACACAGTGATGAAAGAAGCTGATGTCTGAAAAACAAGAAGTAAATAAAAGGCCTGTTGATTAAGGGATTATAGCAGAACTATCACACCGATTGGCCGATGGTAAAATTACTGGTTGGCAAATATTGATATGTGAGTTGGTCTTGTAGTTACGCAACTATCTGTCTTTGCCTTCTAACCGGCCGCACCGGGTACCGGATCGAAACTGACTCGTCTCTTCAACATGCTAGTGTCATGGACGTAGTGCCATGGACGTATTACAAAAATGGTCCTTGGATCTTTGAAATAATCATATATGTGTATACAAGATTTTTTTTATAAAAGCTCTGGTAAACTAAAATGACTTGCCATTGAAGGAAATCACTAACAGAATGCTACAGGACGAAATTAACAATCTAAAGGTTAAGAATTAGGACTGTACGTTTTAGCATGAGATATATCCATTCTTTTAATGTGTTGAACGGATATTACAGACGGTTTACACTTGACTACCAGGAGTGTTTGATTCTGAACCAGATGGCAGCCCCCCTCACTTCCCCACCACCCCTCCGCGGTCCATACTTTCCCATTTGATTTGATATCTCGATACATGGGTCTGTCCCCCCCCCCCCCACCCCCAACATGCGGGAAATCGATCAACACTCATGTTGCCTCTGGCCTCAATAACATGGATGTTATGACAACGTTAACAAAACACATTTCTTTGTGATTATAACATGAACAGGTGAGGCGCTCATCCACTTTGGAATCATGTATTTGGAAGAAAAGCGAGCATGTCTGGCAAAGAATAACACTGGATGTTTTTTTTTTTTCATTAAAAATGATCGTCTGGAAATGAAAAACATTTTTAAAACTCTTATCATTTATCATCAGCTGGAGGAAATATTTTCTTGAAGTACTTAGAGGTAATGTATTTTGAAAATATTGGTAGTCGAAAATGTTAGCTACTATCATTTAAATATAATGATTTTCCGAGGGATCACTAACCATATCCAGCCCTTTAACCAGTGCTGAAATGGTCATGTAATGTTGAATCACAATGTTCACACTTTCAGTTGTTTACTAAGAAAATACATCTGTTTCCTTTGGAAATTAAAACAAAACCATGTTACATGTGCCTGTAGTCATAATTATATTGCCACTTTTGGTTTCGACACCATGTAAAAGAAATGAAATAGTTTATGTAATCCCCAACCAATTTGGGGAAACTGATGTATCCATAAATAGATTTAAAAAACTTGTGATCTAATTAACAGTAACAAAAACAACATGACCTAAGACGAGACGATGCTTTCGATGAATTCATCTTGGGAATAAGCGTGCAGTATAAACTTAACATTACAACAACAAACAAATTCAATATAAAAGTGTTTTTTTATTTTTAAAGCATGCAATTGAATTCAATTTCACCCCAGTTGGGAAATATCCAAAACTATATGTTAAAGGGCGTTTTGACACTTGCCTTGATAAGATTGTTATTGGAAGTTGCTTATAAGTATATATCTCTCAAACAATCGCTTAGCAATCAAGATAAGACCGAGTTGTCATGGTTATTGGACTCTTTTGACTTTGTAGAGAGATACAGATTATGAAATTAAATCACCTCTTAATGGTCATTGATTGCCCATCATTCCTGTGTACCTTCACCTGGTTCTATATGCAATGGTTTTGAAAATGAACATTTTTGGGTAGCTCTTTTTCTTAAGTTCAGAGATCCCGCGTTCCCAGTAGTTTGAAGCTCGATTATTTTCTGTCGAGTAAAGTGTTGCCTTGTTATTCTTGTAAGCAGGTCTTACATAATTGACTTTGGTATTAGGAATGTTTTATATAGTCCAGAGCTCTTGTCATGAACGCCACATTGCTTTTATGTATTAATAGAAAGGCTGAAAATATCACATACTGTGCTGTCTATTGTATACAATATTTTGTCATTATATAGTTCTATATCAAAGCTGTATGAAAGTATGTGTAAATGAAATAATATATTATTAAGTCTCAGAACAAAATATCGACTGCCTATGTTAACGTGACACTCTCTTATACATTTTTATTTGTGATGTTTTAAACGAAGATTTTGTATCGTAAACGATTTCGACCCGTCGAGTCATGAAGCTCTGTTGCTGACTTATAATTATATTCGTTTAAATGAAAACCTCTCTAGTTCAATGCGACGGCCATCTCAACGATGCCGACACCAGATGACAACAGATCTAACAAACAATTACATTACCCCCGAAGGGCTAAGAATCGGTCAGTTTGGAGTCGGTGTGCCTGAGTCGGTTTGGAGTCGGTGTGAAGTCGTTGTGGATTCGGTTTTATATCTTTTTTTACAGGCAAAGTAACAATGCGGTGATATATTTCGGTGCCAAAAATGTCAAGAATAAAATGTATTTTGAAATATGAAATAATTATTGTTTCCAAGGACTCATCATTTTTTGTAAATAACAACGGATGTGATATCCAAAACTACATTACTATTACTATTGATATTAATTGGGAGACGTACACAGGGAAAACGTTATCAGCATCAATGCTATTCTTCCTGAGGGCCCTGTATTGCAGTTACCCACTTGAACCTGGATGGAGAATGGCAAGAGTGGATCAATGTATTGCAAAAGGACGTTATATAATGTCGGACTGGGATTCTAACCCTCAATCATTCCTTGGATTATGAGTCAAGTGAACGACAGTTCCTCTGAACCGTCGCTCCATGAAGCAGCATTGTAATCGCCAAACGGATTTTACAGTAGGCTTGCGGGTGCTCCATGTGAGAGAGAGAGAGAGAGAGAGAGAGAGAGAGAGAGAGAGAGAGAGAGAGAGAGAGAGAAGATTGAGGAGTCCTGAAAAGAACTCTCGGTAATCTTTCTTGAGAGTGTGTAGTCCTGAAAAGGACTGTTTGTGTAGTCTTGAAAAAGACTGTTGGTTATCTTTCTTAGCTAATAGTTCTAAGGAGAACTATAGCACTCGGAGAGGATGAGTGGCGGGAGTGGCTCGACGTTTCGAACAGGTTGATTATCCGTCGTCAGGAGTGGAGAATAGCTGGCGTGCGTGAGCTTAATTTTATTCCCCGATGCCCTGTCGAATTCAATCAAATAAACTTAACACACATAATCTGATTATGCAGGAGGATAAACATGTGAATTTCCGTTGTCCCTTGATTGTGCAAAATACACATGAAATTTGTTTTTACTAGGTCAGCTGAATTCAGTCTTCCACAAACATTACAATGTTAAAACGTTCGCATATACTTTCAAAGAAATGTTACCTGAAAAGAGAGTAAGAGAGGGGGAAAGAGGGAGGGAGATAGAGAGACAGAGGGTGAGAGGGAGAGAGAGAGAGAGTGAATGAGAGAGAGAGAGAGAGAGAGAGAGAGAGAGAGAGAGAGAGAGAAAACGCGTGAAGAAAGGGGGGGGGGGTAAAAAAAAGAAGCATACTAAGGATGAAAATGGGAGTGAGAGATAGAGACAGGGAGGATGATTATGCTAGACTGGATGACATGGACGAGATGATAAGCATGAACCCTTGGGCACCATCACATGAGGTATAACCTTAAACTCACTTCCACAAATAAGATCTTTCGAATACTTCAACCTGTTATAACTGAAACTGATATTAAAGGGCAAACCAACCCTTGTAATAAGTTCATTTGTATGAAAGCAAAAACAATGATGGTAATAGTTTGAAATAAATCTGACTTATAATAAGAGTTATCATTGTTTGAAATATGAGAAATAAAGAAGAGAGGGGCGAGAGGGGCGGTGAAGGAGGGAAAATGGACAGAGAGGGGAAAGTGGGAATCCAACGAAGAAGACGACACCCCCCCCCCCCCCCTTTGCAGTCCAGTCTTGCTTCTCCCATATTAGTCACCTAGTAATTACCTTGTGCAAGAAGATGAACAAATCTGTCCAATAAATAGGAAGCACCAAGATACGAGAAAGAAAAATGAGGAAAAAGTGAAGAAAATAAGTACGCCCAATGTGGGGCTCGAACCCACGACCCTGGGATTAAGAGTTCCATGCTCTACCGACTGAGCTAACCGGGCTGTGATGTCAAATTACCCGTTTAGATCGAACCAAAACACGATGAAATGATTTTGATAATAATAATTTCTAATGATTATAATGATATTCCGCTTTTATATATTGCTAATATTATATCATCGATGTCTCTAAGCGCTTTTTAGATATGATATTACCCCGGTCATCGGATTCAGGCTTCCCTGCACACACTATATACACATTCTCCACTCCCTGGGAGCATTCCAGCCAGGCGTCATTTTACAGACGCTCAAAATGCTGAGCAAACTACATTAACTTTCGCATCCTACCTGGTACTTATTTGGCACCTGGGTGGAGAGTGGCGAATGTAGATTAACGTCTTGCCAAAGGGCGTTCGTGTCGAGCTGGGATTCGAACCCTGTACCTTGTGATCTGCAGTGTGCGATATATCCACTAGACAACAGCACCTCTACAATCACTAAAATCCATTATAAGAATGTTCGCATGTCTTCCTAAAACCTATTGCTTTTCAGATAAATAAGGCACAACTAACATTAAATTTTAAGCTACAGTCCCATATACGTCCCGGACCGTCCCGGACCATCCCGGACCCCATCCGGGGTCATCCGGGATTCGGTCCGTGTTGACACCGTGTTGGCACCGGGGTGGTCCTGGATGGTCCTGGATGGTCCTGGGCGGTCCGGGAGTCGACCCCGGATGTTTTTGACGGTCAAAAACTGCCGGGGTGGTCCGGGACGGTCCGGGACAATAGTTTGATCCGGGGTGATCCGTGTAGCCACCGTGCTGGGTCCGGGGTCATCCGTAGTGGCGCCGGGGCGGTCCGTGTTGATCCGTGGCAGTCCGGGAGTGAGTTATTGACCGCCCAGGACCATCCAGGACCATCCAGGACCACCCCGGTGCCAACACGGTGTCAACACGGACCGAATCCCGGATCACCCCGGATGGGGTCCGGGATGGTCCGGGACGGTCCGGGACGTATATGGGACTGTAGCTTTAAAAGCATCACACTTTTTTGA